ATTTTGTTATGGCTATAAATATTAAAGGCTAGAAAATTTTGGCGAGAATTACCTTACGATAGATGAATCCCAACCAGATAGGTTGGCTACTTCTGTCAAAGTAGTCCTCCATATGTCTGACTTCTCCTTATAACGTTCTTCAAGCTTGGAAAAAGCAGCCCCAAAAGATCCAGATTGCCTCCTTACATGTGTAGGTTCTACATGGTAGAAAACTGGTATTACAATCTGTTGACGCTCTTTCTTGTTTTTAAGAATCACTTCAAGTTCTTCAAGGCACCATTTGGAAGAGGCATAGTCTTCTGACAAAAGGATAACTGAAATTGTTGAACGTTCAATGGCACTCAAAAGAGCCGGCGTCAGTTCATCTCCTATTATGAGTTGATCATCAAGAAAAGTTTTAATATTTCGCCGAATCAAAGCTGCGTAGAGATGGCTAGTAAAGCCAGGGCGAGTATCCGCACCTCTAAAACTGAGGAAAACATCATACTTCTCCTCTAAGGCAATTCCAGTACAAGAAGCAGCCATAGCCATCACACAATATTCACTCATACAAAATTACAAATACAAGATAAAATGATAAAAACTTAATTACAAAACACCATTGCGCGCCTTTAATAGGCAACGTATCAGGAACCCACTATGAAATTTCTAAATCGACTTGACTTCACCTTGTGTTTCCGTTTCTGTTTCCTTAAACCTAACCCGGATTAGTGTCTAAAGGGGACTAATCTATGAAATTTCAATGTCGACTTGGCCGGGACTAATCTATAATTGGTAATTGCTTTGTTTTTTATTACTTTTATTTCAACAACCACATGGAAGATGTTTAATATATGTATATTTAATTAAGTAAATGAAAATTTTATCATACATCGAATCAAGGAGGACAACCTCGCTTTGCCCGCCATACGCGGCACGGCAGACACATATCATATGGCGGGCGGCTAAGCATAGTACAGTTGGTGATTGCGTTTCAAGTTTGGAAACCTTTATTTTATTCTTAAATGAATTTGATTAAAATTTAATTAAAAAAAAAAAACAAAGAATATGATAACTTGTACCATTATTCTTTTTAATCCAATTGTTGTTGATCAGTATTTCTACTTTCTCTTACGTTGTTGACAATCTGTTCATTTAGCATGTTATCTCCAGGTTTTCATTAATTTACAGCAAGTTCTTTTACGTCAAGAAGATCAAACCGATGACATGTTACCAAAACAAGAATGAATATTTCCAGTTTGCAACTTGCAATATACATGCTGCATATTGTAGCCAATGCTCTGAAACCCGACCCGCGCATGACCCGACCAGGTGACCGGGTCTTGGGTCGGCTGGTTTAACTAGGTCAACCGACAGGTCAATTTGATGACATCATCATTTTGACATCAGCATACCAAGAAAAGCTAAAAATTCCTAAATACTTATAAATTCAATACCAAACATCAATAACAAGTTCCCACAATCAAAGTTTACATCCAGCTACAAATTCAATTCAATATCAAAATTCATAAAGAAACGATAACAAACTTCATTAACAATTCCCAATTAATTCTCATTGCAGCTAGCCATCAACTCCAATTTCACTCTGATGTCAGCTTCATTTCTCACATTCATTCAACCTGAAAAAACATATCAGTTTGTTAGCTGATTGTAAACAGTAAACAATAACCTCAATTCATTTGTAAAATTTTATTGATATTTTTTGTATTAAAACCAGGATACCTAAGAATCTTTTGAATTATATTTTTCTTCAACTAAGTATCCTAATTCCTAACACACATTTTTGCAACATTTTAACTTGTTACAAACAATTGTATATAACAAAATATACCAGAGAAACTATAATGCTACATGATTCATTGCAAATACCAGAGAAGTCAACAAGATCAAATGTTCATGACTCTCTTTAAATAATTAAATCTGTCAAATGAAAAATTCTTCGTTCATAATCATTAAAAACAAAACCATATTCAATAGTTTTAGAAGTTAACGAGATCAAGTGTTCATGACTCAGGTAAAGTATATGATTTAACAGATCAGGCAAAAAATCAAAATGGAAACAATCAAAAATTGGCTAAATCAATCTATAAGTAAAAAATTATATTAAGCAGTTTAATATTAATGAAAGTAATGGATTCAACCAAAAAGATCCTAAAACGATAATTAATAATTTAATAGTAAATTTTAGACATCCATAACTCTCCATAGACTAAATTTGCAACCAAGAACGAAGGAAAAATTTAATAATTAGAGAAAGGTTAAAATAAAGGTGAACCAGCACTTCAAAAATTTCCAAATAAATACATGAATAAACATTGAAAAACAAGAAAACCACAAACTGATAAAAGACAGCAAACGCAACTTAGATTTCATTACTTCCGAGTCCTCTTTTAACCAACTAATCTAATCTCAAGCTTGCAAAAAGAGAGAGAGAAGAAACCTTCGACTTTGCATAGTGGAGACTTGGAGAGAACAAAGGCTGCAGAAGATAGCACAAGATGGCAGGAGAGAACGACGGCTGCAGAATAAAGAATAATATTATGTTTACAACTGAGTTATACAACCAGGTGAAACACATAAGACATAGTAGTCATTTTACATAAATTTTGTGCAATTTTTGTCTAGTTGTATGACTCAGTTATAAGCATAACATTATTTGCAAAATAAAAGCTTCAACTAAAGAACCAATGAAGTGATTTGATCAATTTTGTGCCGTCGACGGCAAGAGAGAGCAAAGGTTGCAAAGAAGATTGAAGATTGTGGCAAAAGAAGACCGAATTTTGGGTTTAGGAATTTAAAAAAAAAAAAAAAAAACATAAATCTTGTTTTAATATAAGTGACTCGAACTAGGCCTCGGGCCAGTTAGACTGGCGGTTCATCATTGTTTTACCGGTCTGAAGCCAGGTTATTACAGGTTAACTACATAGATTAGGTTTTTCCTCAGTTCGGACTAGTGGAAGCCCCGAGTCCCGGTCCAACCAGTTGAACCAGCCAGTCCAAACCGGGTTTCAGAACAATGATTGTAGCACAAGAAACCTGTATGGCAATAAAAGGACTAGAGATTTCCTATAGATGCCACTATAGCATCAAGATCAATTTCTAACTATCTCAAAAAGTTAATAAGTGTGAATAGTATTAGAGAAGGGGGAGCCTGAATTCTCCAAGAGGAACAACTTGGGGAATTACAAATTATACCACATGAAAAATAAAAATAAGTGAACATAAACGACAAAAGTATTGTGTCATGGCTCTGACCACGTGAAGAACCAGTTGAAATAACCTTGTTAGAAGAACCACCATCTCCTTTGCCGAGTCCTACGTAACAAGATATAAGCAAGCCTCAGTCAAGCATATATACACATAAGGAAAAATAATTAAAAAAACCACCATCTCCTTTGCCGAGTCCTACGTAACAAGATCATGCTTAGAAATGCTGATTGACCACAAGGGTTATCAAGAGAGTAATAGTATAGAAGGTCCTTTTGGCATGGCAATTTCATTTCATTAGATGCTTCCTAGTACAGATTGTTCTAAGCACCAACTATGCCTTCCATGAGATCATGGCATACTCCCTAGCATGTCCCTGGGTATATATGAAATTTTGCAAAAACCCTCTGATTCTTATTTCGTGATTGCATTAGAATAGGCTGAGAATGAACAATTGTCAATGTTCTGAATGAAGGCGGCACCTTCTCCTCCAACATCTCGTTCAACTGATCATCAAAACAAATCATAAGCTCATTAGACACAAAATTATGATAGATGGCGATTGTAGCCCTATTTCAGAATACATCTAATAAGAACCAGCCGTTCTGAAAATAGGTGTACAAGAAACTACGAGAAAATATTTGGGAGATAGTAGTCACTTACAAGAGAAATATGCTCATGCATTTTTCTCCCTGATTTAATAATGATCTATATATTAAATTCTCATATATAGAGAGATTCTACTTAAGCCTCACAAGCAAGTTTGGAAACTATAACACAGAATAAATATTGTGATGCCAGAAAAACTGATATGTCGAAAATAACATATATTTCACTTAGGCCAATAAATATTAACTGGTACTAACCTTATCTTGTCGCCATTTAGTTTTTCCACCGAGCATCCAAAATTTTATCAGCAATTTCACTTTGGGCATTAAGAAGAATAATCTTCTCATACAATTTTTTTAGGTCTTTGAGATCCTCCTCAATGCAAGGAGAAGCATTGAGGGGAAGGTCGATTCCTGTCAATGCTCAGCAGTTAGCTAATGAACATTTCCTAAAATTAACAACCAAGTAAAATACATGAATATTGGACAACAAAAGATAGTATATAAAGAGTGACAGATGATACGCACACCCCAAGTTTGAGGTCATGGCCGAGGATCAAGCTTCATGACTTCTGTTTCTAGAGCCTTAAGGGATAGTTTTCTTTATAATAGGGACTTCCCTGGCACCGATGGGATCTATGCAAATTAAAGCCTGAAAAATGATAAATGATTTCAAATCAAGAACTTTCGGCAAATTATGAAGTACAATCTTTACAACTTTTCATGGAATCCAAGTACCACTCAATTCATTGCCTTTTGGTATCCATCCAATAAAATATCAACTTGACCAAAGCCATGCTATCACAATTTTATTGCATTAAGCTCACAAAGCATATTCTCCACATAGACAATCTTTAATTCCCATAAAGATTAGTACCTCTTATATAGGAAAATCATATTATTGAACCCAAAGTGTCAATGAGATTCATAAGTAGAAAGAATTACTTTTAGGAGGCTATCTTACTTCCTGCAAGTATTCTCAGCCAGGATTTTGCTTGGCCACCACCTCTGAAGTTGATCATACTGCATAGATTCCTACACCACAAATATCAAATTTCACGATTTACATCCTGATTTCTACCTGCAGTTGCAGTCTGCGGAATGAACTATGGGGCAATCAAATCAGCAATTCCTCAAAGTCTAGGGAACCCATGTCTAAGGCCGTATTGTTTCATGGATTGTCTAACAAAAATATATTGTATATGTGCATGTAAGCATGCATACCGTGCTCACTATATGATAAACCAAAATGCCAATAATAACAAAATCATAATTGTTTATAAATTAAACAGCTGAAAAACCATATCAATGCATGGAGTAGAAGTCTTAAAAATGCATGTCAATTGATTCACTTCCTCTTCTTTGTGGCTAAGTCTTAGCATGCATATTTCCGAACAACAACTAATACTGATAGGTAGCATGAAATCAAGTGGAATTAGAATCTCATTCTCTAACTTCATCAATAATACAAGATACAATTTGCCAATTCTAACTGTAGGACGAAAGCCTCTGTTGTTGTCAAATATACCTTGAAAGAAAATGCATAATACAAAACAACAATAAGCCCAATCTAATGTCAGTTGATCTATTTATGAATTCTCTTATTCTTTATGGTAGATCCAAAAGAATCTTAAATGTCGGTTTGAATGATATTTAGAAAAATAATGGAATCTAAATGATATTAACTAGTACAACATGTCGTTTATTACATAGTAAATCAACGTCGTTTGAGTAGTTAAAACGACACCGCTTGGCAAAGAAAACGACATTTGTTTTTCTTTTGTAGAACGACATGTCAGTTACAATGAACAAAACGACGTCATTCAATATAAAATGCCAAAACGATAGCGTTTTGGTAGTGATGACATGTTGTTTTTAGCATGCAATAGTCTTAGAAACCGAAACAAGGCCGTTTTGATTAATGTGAGATGTGATTTGAATCCCCATTCCCCAATGTATATCTTTATACCAAAAAGGCCCTACTTGCATGATTCTTAATTTCTTATGGACCTAAGGGATATTTACCATCAAACTTATGAAAGTTTACAAACGACAGTCCTTTATCTTGGCCTTCGAAAATGACACATCATTTCCTTGCCTTATTTGGTTGTCAACACCGGCATTTTTACTAGACGAAACGATAGCGTTTTCTTTTGATGTATAATATGTTTGCTCGTTGAACGACATGTCATACATTTGATGAATATTATTTAACCTACCAATATTTATCTTTATATCGGAAAAGTAAATCCTACTTTCATGATTCTTATTGGACCTAAGTAATATTTGCCATCTGAACTTATGAAGTTTATAAACGAGTTGTCGTTGATTAGGGGCCTGTGAAAACGTTTGTCTGTAGTCTGTACTACTGTATGTGAGAAGAGCCGGACTTTTATGATTCATGTGTACTAAGTGATGTTTACCATTCTCAATAATGTGAATCTAAATTAAGAAAAATATCCAGTATAATGTCTCTCCAAATCAGACTGAATCGGCGTTGTTGGCGGGCCAGCCACTTTGATTTACATTGTAAATATATGCAAATAAATAATACAAGAAATTACTCGTCCACAATCCACATTATCAAGAAGACAAGAACCATAAGAGCTTCTTGCCGGCAGACCTCTCAGGTGGAGGGGATTTCATTAGTCGGAGAGTTTCTATTGCTGCAGGGAAGGTTTGGTTCATACTTCTCTCTGCTTGTTCCACCACATTATCACGCCTGTTGCAATTTAGAACAACAAATTGCGGCAATTTTTCCGTTGCAATCTAGCTTGCGACTGTTGACTGACCAACCGGCAAAGATTTTTTCAATTGTTTTTTTATAATATAACATTGTGTTATTTTGGTAATTAATTCGTGTTTTTCAATTTGAATGTTTTTACTTCAAAAGATTAGTATTTACCCTCTTTTAATAACAAAATTAGATTAAATGAGCGATTGTTTGTTTTGGTTGGATTACATATGAAAACTGTTCACCTCTCACTTTCAGTGGCCATAAAAACATTTCTTCTCCGAATTTATTTGTTTATTCACATAGCAACATTTCAGTACTAGCTGGGGCAGGTCATATTTCAGTATTAGCAGGCAATGTTTTAATAACCATCTCAGGTGAAACCTGACAAAGTTGTTGGATCCTAGGTGGATTGGTTTAACCGAATGTTCAAAAGTTTAAAATTCAACAAACGCAAATGTAAAATCACAATTAAGTCCCTACAAGTTTGAAATGTAACAAACACACCTCAAATATAAATCGATAGTCGATCGATTGGCAACAACGACACACCAAATGCAATCCCAACCATCCCTTTAGCCCATTCCCCATAAAATATACCCAAAATCTGGCCAAAATCGAACCATCAGCGTCGATAACCATCGCCATCACCCCGAAAGTACTCCCCTCAGTCTCCTGACCAAAACTCATCTCACCCCAACCATGTTCGCCTCGCCAATCGCCGGCAAAAGCCGACTACTACTGCCGTCGCTTTTTTTTTTTATTTCCGATCTATTCACTCACCGAAAATCACCTCCATCACCATCATTGCACCAACCAGCCCTACCGACCCTTTCTCTTCAAAAGCCCCAACATCCCAACCTTCAATTGTTCGCTGATCATCATCCCAATGTCTAGGGTTTTCGATGAACAAAGAAATTGGTAACTCAACCCGATGAAAGCCCCCAATCCCGATTAAACCGGTTCAACCGGTCAAGCCGAGCCGAGTTTTAAAACACTATTAGCGGGTGCAGGTCAACCCTGCTAATGCTATTAGACTGATAATCACCATTAGACACAAATCTTCAATCATTCCAACGCTTGCTTTGGATCTGATTAACTCACATATCAATTTAACCTAATTTCTACTTTCACCATTGTTCATTAGCAGCGACTAATAAACTGAATAATTCAAAAGAATAAAAATTCCATCAAGAAGTTGCCTGCACTAGAATAAACAAGCAATAAAAGATCTTACTTGCTGTTAGAATATGGAATTACTTTTGTTGTTAAGGCCTGTAGTTCACTATCTCAGACAAAAAGTAAGTTATCCTCAACGATATTGAGTCAATGCATGTGTAGTGAAATGCCAAGATGTGTCTCTGCTTTTCTCAGAAATTTTGATGCCGTTGAACTCTAACCATGTTGAGCTGATTCGGAATTGCATAAGACAATCTGAGTTCTCTTTTACATCCAGAAATTTTTATACCAATCAAATACCAAGGAATTCCAGAAGGCCTAGAAAGAAAACGGAAAAATTCCAGGTTTCAATTTATATCTTGTCTATTACAGTACAGTAAAACTGTATGGCAGCTAAGAAGTAAAATCCAATGGTCCGTAAAAAGCTTGAGATTTTCTATAGATGCCAGCTTAGTGCATCGAAATAAATTTTCTACCCATCTCAAAAAGTTGATAAGTGTGAATAGTATTAGAGAACAGGGAGTGCGAGTGGGGGAGCCTGAATTCTCCGGGAGGAATTACAAATTATACAACATGAAAATTAAAAATAAAAAAACAAATGAACACAAACAACAGAAGTATTGTCATGGCACTGACCAGATGAAGAACCGGTTGAAATAATCTTGTTAAAAGAACCACCATCTCTTTTGCCGAGTCCTCTGTAACAAGATATAAGCAAGCCTCAGTTACATGTATACACATAAAAACCAGCTAGATATATTGTTCTAAGTACCAACAAAACCTTAATCAGTTACTAAATATATTATTTAATTAAGAAAAAAGGTCACAAAGGTGAACCAAAAAACCTTCTGATTCTTATCTGTGTTTCATATAATAGGCTGAGAAAGAACAGTGTTGTCAATGTTCTGAATGTATGGCTGCACCTTCTCCTCCAACATCTCATTCAACTGATCAACAAAACAGATAAAAAGCTCATTGGACACAAAATTATGATTGTTGCAATTGTAGCCCTATTTCAGAGACTAAGATTTCTGAAAATCATGAACAAGAAACTGTGAGAAAGTATTCGGAAATATGTCATTTCGGAATATGTCTCATGAGCTTTCTCCCGTGTTATTAAAGGTTTAAATATTAAATTCCATTTGGAGTTTCTACTTCAGCCAATACTTTTTAAGCAAGTTTTGAAAACTATACACAGAATATACACATTATTAATGGCATAATAAATACTGTGATGACAGAAAAACTGATAAGTTGAACATAACATATATTTTACTCGGGCCAATAAACATTAACTGGTACTAACCTTATCTTGTCGCCATTTAGTTTCCCACTGAGTATCCAAAATTTTATCAGCCATTTCTCTTTGGGCATTAAGAAGAATAGTCTTCTCATACAACTTTTTCGGGTCTTTGAGATCCTCCTCGCTCCAAGAAGAGGCATTGAGTGGAAGGTCAAGTTCCGGACAATTCTCAGCAGTTAGTTCAATGTACATTCCCTAACATTATCAACAGAGTAAAAAACACTAATAATGGAAAACAAGAAATATTGTCTGAAGAGTAACAGAGAATACGCACACCCCATTTTGAGGCCGTGGCGAGGATCAAGCTTCATGACTTCTCTTCTAGAGCCTTCTTGGCCTTGTGTAAGGGATATTTTTCACTATACAGGGTCTTCCCTGGCACGGACAGGATCTATGGAGATTAAAGCCGGAAATGATAATGATTTCAAATCAAGAACTTTCAGCAAATTATAAATACAATATTTCAACTTTGCATGGAATCCCAAGTATCACTCAATACAATGCCTTATGGCGTCCATAAAAAAAAAAATAAAAAAAAACAACTAGACCAAGCCATGTCATCACAATTTTAATGCATTAAGCTCATAAAGCATATTCTCCACATAGACAGATCTTTAACTCCCATAAAGACTAGTACTTCTCATATAGGGAAATCATTTATTGAACCCAAAGTGTAAATGAGATTCATAAGAGGAAGATTACTGTTCGGAGTTTCTTACTTCCTGCAAGTGTTCCCAGCCGATTTCGCTTGGCCACCACCTCTCGAAGTTGATCATACCGCATAGATTCCTACTCCACAATATCGAATATCAAATTTAACAATTTCACCCCAATTTCTACCTGCAGTTGCAGTCTGGGATATTAACTATGGGGCAACAAATCAACACTCCTCGAAGTCTAGGAACTCATGTCCTTGATTGTTTATACGAAAAACAAAATGCCAATAATGACAAAATCTTAGTAGGTTGTAAATAACAGCCTAAAACCATATCATCTGCTATTCTACAAAGTTTTAATCTTGAAGACCACAGAAAATGTTAGAAGGTCAACTGGGAATGACTTTATCCAATTAATGCCAGGAGTAAAAGTCTTAATTGAAGTCAATTGATTCACTTCCCCTTCTCTATGGCTAAGGCTTAGCATGCTATTTCCGGACAACAACTACACAGGTAGGTAGCATGAAAGTGAGTGGAATTAGAATGTCACTCTCTAACTTCCTGAAGAATACAAGTATAATTTCCCAATTCGACTGTCGGCAAAAACCTCTGTTGAAACTACACCTTAAAAAAAAATGCATAATTAATGAAATTTTCATGCTCTACTTCTTCATTTCTTACCGTTGAGAGATGCGGAATTTAACTTAAACACGGAAAAAAAAAAAAATCCTTGTAAAATATCCAGCAAAAATAAACAAGAAACATGGTCACAACAAAATAATAAAGTCCAACACTAGGGTGAGGAAACAAATGAATCTGGAACCTTGTATTGCCACCAAATTTTCTGCTTGATATCATCATCATAGTCAAATCCACCCACAACCTGAGGCAAGGTCATAAGCCAAAATGCCGCAATACTGGGGTCCTTCATGCTGTGAACAATATGCTGCAACAGTAATATTATGAAGTCATTATCACCTCAGTAGCTTTAACTGTCCAACAGCTATAGAAAACTTGAAAATACACTCACATAAATTAATTGTAAAGAACTATAGAATAAGACATGATACTACCTCTATGGATAATCCATCTTTCTCAAGACATGTAGGCTTTCCACGGAGGCTCCATGATCTGCAGAAAGGAGACGCATATATATCCATAAGGATAAAAAATTGCTATAGTTAAAAAATATCCAGTAGAACCCTTTAGCAATGTAAGATAGAATCTTTTATTTGTAAAACTTCTCCCACAGAAATTTGGTGTCAGACAAAAGAGGTTACAAAATCATTTCTACACTCTCCAGCACTATTGTGCATGTTAAAGGAGAAGCACCTTCCTACCCCGAAATTATGGATAATGTTTTTGAGGTCACCATATAAACATTTTATGAAACATTACATACTTGATAATAGTGTTACCTTTTATGATTCTATAGAAAATGAATCATGAATTTTACAAAATGCAGACACACAGAAGTAAAGCCATTGTCTTTTCTAGATATTCAAGTGTTGCCATGTTTGAAACTCCATGTCTTTTATAAACACAACAGTTGTGTCTGTATCTACATATCCTAGCATAATATCAAAGTATTAGCAAGTTCACAAAACAACTCACATCATCTGCAGAGAAGTGACTTGTAATTTGTGTTTGCATTCAGGACAGCCCATGACACCCTGCAATAATTTAAATAAAAAAAAAAAAAAAAGAAATTCATTCAAAGATCAAAATCCATTAAATACAGATTACATGTATCCCACTCCTGGGTCACCACAATTTATTGCCACAGATAAGGTCATAACAAGGTTGAATATCTCTCCCTAAACTGAATAAAAAAGGTGGAATAACTAGATGGGCATATAGCAAAAAATTATCTGGGATACAGAACTTCGAATAGAGAACAGCCAAAATTACATTCACATGAAGCCCAAAAAACACAGTGTAGGGGAGGATTGAATTGATTGGTTAGGCATTTTGTTCAACCAAAAGATAAGGCGTTGAATTCCTCTTGGACCCACCAACTTAGAATATCATATACCATTAGTGTCCGGGCTTTGTAGATATGCTCATGTCACCTACTATAGAACTCAATGAACCATAGAGATGTTGGGGGATTATTGAGTATCAAGAAAAAAAATATATTTACAGTCACATAAGCTATGAAATAAGCTCTCACTGTCCATCACAAATCGGGCAATCTTTCGATGGCAATGGTGAGTTAAGATCAATTGTAGATGGAAGGTGCACCAACTCAGCCCGATTATCAACATGGCATCCGCAACACGTTCAGCAGTTGCCTTCTCTCCACTACAAGAAAATCCAAAAATAATAAAAAATATATAAAAAGTAATATAAGCATCAAATTACTTTGGTTGTTTATGCTTCTATACATAAACTGAATGATGATAATAATTTTAGTATTCAATTCAATTCCTTGTCCTCTCAAATCTAAATTTAAGACTAGCGAAAAGAAAATGTCCATCCCCTAACAAACCAAGAAAAGCTTGTAATGTATATGAGAAAAACTTCAGAACTCAAACTGACTGCAAATCAACATACCTCCTCAAGTGTAATCTTTTACTTGGTACTGCACTTGCCCTGATCCTCGGCACATGGTACACCGCAATGCCTGCCATCCATTGCATGTACGACAATGCCTGCATTTCATAGACCAATCTCACATAAGACAGCATGTTAAAGCCCAAAAAGAGTACTTGCTTTCTTCAATTGAAACCAAGCTGATATGAACAATTAACATATAAGTTGGTATCACTTCCAATTCATCAGCACAAAATACCTGATAATATCATCATTCAACTCAGTTTAATAGATGAAATTCCAGTACATGGTTTTTAAAAACTATAACTTCTATGTTATAATACAATGATTACACAACTAAAGCAAAAAACGATAAATGACACTCAGAATATCACAATATCAAGAATTCCATTACAACCAGAATAAAACAATAACGACAAAAAGCAAGGACCAAAATAAAAATTCCAAAGAATCGAAAAGCACCTCTGGCATACCACCTTCTTGCCCGCTCTAGTGCAATATCATAAGTCCCAAGTGTAGCGATTGCCTGCAGATAATCCATGGGATCAACTAAACGATAAATTTAAGGCACTGAACGGAGGTTTATATTATATATATATTATGAAACAACTTATAAATTAAGAAATTAGAACTTGCAACACAAAAAGGTAATCCTGCTAAATCGCAAACACAAATCAAACGGTCAACAAATTAAGCAATACCAATTAAAAAATGACCATAATCCTTCCAAAAACCATAAAACACCCGGTGACCAAACACAAGAAGCATAAACTACGCAAAATTGCAAAACACAACATAAGCCTATCCATCTATTCTTCAACCAATAACATCATTTTCCAAAGAAAAAAAAAAAGAACCAGCCAAAAGCGCATTAATTCACTTAGAAATGACAAGTATCGCTAAAAAAACCTACTAAAATCATAGCAAAATTACTTTAAACACATACCAATTCAACCCACAACCGTTTTGAATTTTTAAAATTTTTGACAATCCAACATACACTGAATTTTCAATTTTAACTTATAATTGCCCAACCATTACATAATTTAGCACAACAATTTACAATCCCATCTAAGCCAATAACAAATACCAACCAAAACAACAACAAAAACAAGTCGAATTATGGATAAAACTTGTAAAATACACGCACTTACAAAAACAGAAGCGTAAGAAAGCTTGGTAATGAACTCGGGAATGCCGAACCCACGAGGTGCGGAGCCAGCAATGTCAAAAGCAAGAGTGAAGGGAGACAAGACCAGCTTAATCGGGAACTCCAAAATGTCACTGACTTGCTGTCCATAACGAGCATTGAAGAACTTGTATTGGTTACCTGCGAACTGTTTGAAGTTCCTTATCATACGGTCCGGGCCTCTCGACATTGTGGAGACTGGAGAGTGAGAGTTAAGTGAAAGAGAGAAGAATGGATAGAGTTTTGTTCCTGAGTCAAGCGGGTTTTGTTGGCGATTTTGCAGGATGGGTTTATCCTGGGTTTTGGATTTAACTAAAGTTCAGTTTAGCCGAGTTCGTGTGACCAAACAGACACGCTTTAAGCCTATAAACTATTAAACTTGGGTTGAAAAGATTTTGTCATGTACCTAATTTTATGACAATATAATTAAGATTTTTTTTATTTTTTATTAATAATTAATTAAATCTATGTAATTATATTTGTTATTTTGTTGTAATATGCTTATAAATTTAATTAAAATAAGGATGCTATTTGTTTTTATAAATTGTTGTTGCGCAAAAATGCAATAATCGTAGACCCAATCAACCACGGTAGGATTTTATAAGATGTGTACGTGATTTAGAATAACCAACTAAGAACAAATTAGAAAACGATAATGGAATGACAAAAAACGGTTTTAAAGTGGTTTGACGAGTTAGAATCAAGTCTACGTCTATTAATATATTATTATTTTATATTTGTTTTATACTCAGACTGATTACAAAGGAGAATATGATGAACAAAGATGAACTCTCTTCTCTCAATGAGATATGTGTAAAAAAAAAAAAAAAAAAAGGTCTCTCTACTCGGGTGGCTTACATGGATGAGAAAAAGAAAGAGATGTACCCCTGTTCAGGTAAAATATCAGTTTATATAAACTGTCACAATAACAAACTTATAAGTGAAGTCTAATTTGTTGTCGGCTTTTAACTTGTCGATAGTGTCCAACTTGAAAACAACACTTAATTTGTAAACAAGATTAGTTTAAGGTAGGCTAACACATGACCTAAATCTAACCATCGAATAATAGGAGATCCTTGGGACACGTGGTGGGAATACATGCTTATTGAATTTATCGCACAACATAAATAATATTCATAATTCTAAAAGTATGTTTTTTTTTTTTTTAAGTTTATGTTTGTTTATCATATTTAAGTTAAAACTTAAAATACTTTGCTTTTATTTGAATACAAAACCATCTAATCAATAAAAAATTTTATTTTGTCAACAATACCCCTATTAATTTTATATAATTCAAATTTTGAAAAAACCCCTTATGCATTATGTATTTTTACTATTATTGTAGCTTTTTAATAATAAATTTTTAAATATTACATCAAAAAAAAATACTGTAAATAACATAGTTATCTTAATTTTATATACATTTTTTTTTTAATTTTCATAAATTTGATCAATTAAAATTTTGCTTAAAATACGGAAAATAGTATATAACTAAATTATACTTAATAAGAATATATACGTCGAAACACTAGTTTTAAGATGTTTACACCATATAAAAACAAACAATTTAATATTTATAATCAAACATTGAAATATAAAAAATAAATATATCGATCAGACTTATATATTCATACATATTTAGATAATAGATGCATTCAACTTTCATACAACAAAACAAATACCACGTAAGTTTACTAATGAGGTTATTATTAATATAATAGTATTGTATGTAAAATTTGTCGATTGAAATAAATATTATGCACTCCCTGGTTAAACATGGAAGCTTCAAAGGGTAGTTGCAATATGAAAATGAGGTAAATTAATGGGGGACATTCCATTTGATGATTTGAATTTCAATATAAAAAAAAATAACTATATGAGAAGGAAAGTTTAATTATCACTTTCTATATCATAATATATATCTTTTTTTTTTTTTTTTTAATGATCAGGGTATGTTTAAACCAACCTGTGCGCACCTTGATTAAGCCTCAGGACTCAAGTCTAATGTTACAAGGTAAACCACAAATATGGTAAGTGGCCCCAAGGCTCGAACCCAAGAAATCAATTAAATAAGCAAACTTTCTTGACTGTCAAACCAACCCTTTGAGGTTTATCATAATAAATATCATTCATCCAAAAAGTTTCATAGTTTGACAATTGATTCTTCTGAAGAATTATTAAAACGAAGCATTAATTTGATCAAATCAATATTCTCAAGTTTCATATGATATTATTATTCCTTAATTTTAACATCCCAAAACAAATGCATAAACTTCATTTAATTATTGCATCCTTTTTCTAGCTTAATTAAAACTGATACCAAATCCACTAAACTTTTCTTTCAATAGTTTTCCCAACCTTTCTGGCATTTCAGGAGTTGAATAATTTTCATGTTCTCAACAGAATCCAATTTCTTTATCCTTTCTTTGGAAATGCGGAGATCTACAAAGCTCTCTCACAAATATCTTTAAAGCTTGGAACTAAACAATAAAACAAGTCATTAATTCCTTTTGGATCGGACCCGCAACCCATACGTGGGTGAATAATATAGAATATAGGTCAAGCCTTGTAGATTCATGGACATTGAACAAGCACCCGACCCAGACTGTTTGTCAACGGGTGTACCCGTATTTAAAAAAAAAAATTAATAAAACAAAATCCCTAAAAGGATTGAAATCCCTATACAAACAAAACGCACCGAAAAAAAAAAGTCAGTCTTGCTCACTTCACACACAGTACCATTACATAGAGCTCAATCAAACATTTTTTCCTTTGAGAGCTCACCCAATCAATTCCCTGTGAAACCGAAAGAAAAGTCGGTGTTTTGAGTGGAAAAAGAAAGAAACGGACAAGAAGACAATAAAGAGTAGGCGTGGAAGAAAGTGAGGCGATGATGGAAGGTGGTAGTGTGTCCCCTCCGGCGTACTTTAGCACCAACTCCTGCTTTCAAAGCCTTTGTTTTGTCTTCTACTTTCACTTTCTTTATGGGTCATGGAAGATTAAGAATAAAGATTTGATTTTTGGTATTTCCTGTGTATTAGTAATTATATATTTGTTTTCGATAGATTATTTGCTAGTCTTAAATAGACGACTAATTGAGTTGACTGTGAACTTTTGTGATGAATTGAATTGAATTGAAAATTTGAAATTAGAATAGGTGATTGTGGGGTATAATCATAACAAATAAAAACTACATGAATTTAGGGGTATAACTGTCAGAATATAAAACTTTTATAAATAGTACCGATATCCGCAGGTCCACTATAAGATAGGGTAGGGGTTTAATATTTTGAAATAGATCAACCCGTTTTAGGTGCCTACTCGTAGGGCTGCACCCGTTTGGATCCGTACCTGACACGTCCACCCGTCTTGCCAGTTCTACAGTTGATACCTGAAACTACAGAATAATTTTGAGCAACGGGTGAATACTAATACAAAGTGCAGGCCAAATATAAGAAAAGTGAATGAGAAGAAGTTGGGTTATTTCCGTTTTACACCCTCTTGTATATGCTCTTTTCGGTCAGGCTTTAAAAAAAACTATCATTGAAGGTCGAAAAAATCTCATTATACAAAGAAGACACATTATTATTTATTAATTTATTAGTTAACAGTTTTTTAATGAGTACCGACTTTTTCCCACCCGAAGATTTGCCATAATGTCACTTTCCACCTAAAAAGTTTCAAAATACTATTTTCCCACCCTAAATTTATATTCCGTTAATACCCAAAATACATTTCACTTTCTCAACCGACGTTCGACGAGTTACTAGAAGCTAGGGTAACGGGGGTTTTGTAAATAGAGACTGTGAATCGAAGGATGGTAACCGATTAAATATTCGTCGTTGAAATCAGTTGAAAATCAATTAAAAACAAGAAACTATAGCTTTGCAATGATTGAAAATTGACGAGAAATAAAGTGTCAAAGTGTTGTAGAAAGGAGACCGGAGTTTTAAATGGTGGTGACGGAAAGAAATTTCACCATCAGAATCCGCCAGAATCAGTTTTGGGTAATAACAGAATATCAACTTTTGGTGAAAAAGTAGTATTTTGAAACTTTTTTGGTGAAAAAGTGTCATTAAGGCAAACCTTAGGTGGGAAAATGTCGTTTACTCGTTTTTCAGTTAATGAAGTTGTCTCATAAGATTATTTTTTTACTACCTATATAATTTCTTATTTTTGAAGCTTATTTCTATAATATGGGGTTGCATCAAAAGGTAACATTGCTGATACTGAATTCAATTTGGATAAATTGGTACTCCAATATTTGAAATAAACAATTACATTAATGTAATCAACAAGAGAGTGCCAGCTTGGCTTGAGAGACCACAGATCAAACCAATCCACAGACCCTGTACAAAAAATATATTCTGAAATTAATTGAAATAAGAAAGAGGGAAGAGAAACAAATTACATTGAGTGTGTTTGGCTTATTGTTTTTATCCATATTCCTAATCTTATTTTTCAAATGTTGTTTGTTATGTTATTTCCAAAATATTAGTCTATTTTTTTAATTACGTTGAGACCTTATAAGTTTATTAATTTCATCAAATACCCCCCAGAAAAAAGTTTAAAAACTAATAAAAACACCCCCACCCACCAATACCTACCAGATTTCAACAACCACCGCCGGTGGTAGCCGGAATCTATCACAATAGTCACACAGCCACCGGAAATAGCCGGTAATGGCCAGATCTACCGTCAACGACGGCCAAAAATGGCCATCGTTTCAGCCTTTTTCGGCCGTCGCAGCCACAATAGTTTGTAGATTTGGCCTTTTCCGACCAGATTCGTGGTGGATCTAGCCGGAAAAGGCCATAACGACGCGTTACGGCACAGATCCGACCTGTCTATGTCGTAACGAAATTCGCTGGCTAGATACCGAGGGTGGTGGCCGAAATCTGGCACTACAGGTGGTGGGGGTATTTTTGTCATTTCATATATTACGGTCTTCAATTAAATTAGTAAACCTAAGGGCTTTTTCATAAATTTTGAAAGTTTACCTTGTAATACTCCCCTATCCAACAACCCAATCCTATCCAAAATATTAAACCAAATGCACCCTAATGTTGTCTCTCTCACAATCCAAGAAGTAGAGCAATTGGCATGCCAATGAAATGGAATGCTGCCAGGTTAAGCCACACAGTGAACTTCTGCCAACCACATCCTCTTGTCACTCCTGAACCATAACCTTATTTGCATCACTCAATATCACATTGCAGAGCATGAATCCAGAAATGTTGGATCATGTACAAACCTAATAAGACACCTTGCATTGGATCAACTGCTATTGAGGTAGCAACAAAAGGAGTCAAAGAGGCAAACTCTTTTGTTATTTCTGAGCTGTTACTGAGGAATCTAGCCCAAATGTTATGACCAAAGGCTAGAGTAAGAACTACAGTAATCGAAAGGAGGACAGAGAGCTTGAGAGTCAAAACCATGGCATGTTTAGCTCGACTGACATTTGCAGCTCCCAACTCATTTGACACCCTTGTGCTGCCACAAAACAATTTGCTTTTAATTTCAGAAAACAAATGAACCAGAGATCGAGATTGTAATGTAGAAGTAATTTTTCTGAACTAAGCTGACCTTGCAGCAGCACCAAGACCATAGGTAATCATGTAGACAATATCTTCTGTATTCACACTGAAGATAACAAAATCAGAAAAGAAAAAAAATAATCAAATACAAGTTTACAAGATCGTTTTATCATATATAATGTGTATTAAAGAAACGTAATGCAAGATTGAAACTTACCACAATGCAACCGGAGTAGTTAGTTCCGGGTTTGGCATCAATCCAGCCAAGAATACAAGAATCTGAAAAGCCCTAGTCTCTAAGCTGGAAAAGTACAGAGAATCAGACCAATAAGATAATGGTTCTATTCACACTCTACTTCTTCCAATTGATCAGACTGTGATGTCAGAATCATGCCAGAGCATTAAGGATTCTAAATTATTTTCCTTGAGGTATGACAGCTATTAGCATTTAAAATCTAGAAGAGAGAAGAGGTCAAATAAATAAATTAAAAATTGGTCACTTACCAGACCATTGCT